ACACTTTTAGTCAAAAAACCAGAAAAGGCCCTTTATTTCAAAAAAGGATTGACATTCAATGGTAAGTTTGGAGGTATTTTGAACTCAGATAAGAGTGCTCCATCTCCGATTGCGCTATGTCATTTTAACTCTGAAACACTCTGTATATATAAGAAATTGTTTATAAGAATATGAATCGCATGTTACATTATTTTATTAAGTGTTATGTTATAACGCGACTATCTCGGGTTAGGTGCCAGATAAAACAGATTATCCACTGCTACTGTCACTTGTCAGTTAAAACTTCCTCCTCCAAATAGATGACAGCGGTAGGGAAACATTCATATTATAGATTTGTTATTGTCTCCCCCCCCCCACTCCCCGGGCTCAAGCTAGTCTCTGGGAGGGACCAGCACCAGATTTGGATGACGGTTTCTTAGCCTTCCGGGGTGTTCCCCACTTGCGAAGGGCAATCACAGGCGCCTCGTCAATGGGTCCGTTTATTCGTTTGCAGGTGTTAGAGCTGACATGTGGTACGGTTAGGTCCGTAGGGTTGAAAATTTAAAAACTAATTGGGGAGACCATCACAATTATTTCATACGGGCCATCTCGTTTCGGTTAAAATTTGGAAGAAACTTATTTCGGAATTGCTAAGAGTATGTGTGTTAACCCAGATACCATTTCCAATAGCGAATGGCAGCACTAGTCATTTAAGTAAATCTACGCAGTCGTCTGTTGATCCTGCTAACTTTTATTTATAAAACGAGTGTCATGCCAAGTAGTCATAATTTTCGTTAAACATGACGTGACCTGAGGAACAAAATCATCCGTTTCTACAATGGAACTGAGATCATTGCGAATATCATATAAAGTCCGAAATGTTCTCCCGTGGGTTAAAAAAGCAGCTGTCTGCCCTATTGTGTCACACCAGGTGATATACATAAAAATCGAATCGTGGGCAATTTATGGACCCAAAGTGTATGGTTATCTGCGACCAGAGACTTCAAGTCCCGATTTTGCATTCTACCATATTTTCAGAAGCGTGGTATAGTGGTGTGAATGATTCCTTGATACTCAAAGTAACGCAGAGCTTTTGCATAACTGAAAAAATCAACTAGACTTAGAGCTTTCCGAGAACGAAACAGAAAATGGCATGTTCTCGTCTCGTTATCAGAATATCCAGTTTAGTAAACTCCCATCTCATTCTTGCGCACCCAAGCCGAATTTCTCGGTATTCTTTTTTTTATACACATGCATAAACTTACTCAAATTAAATACCGGGTATGTATTAAAAAAAGCAAGAATATTATTCAGACATGATTTAAAGTATTTTTATGACATAAAATTACCTTTAATTTTTAAATAATTCGGTAAATTATTTAAAGCTTAAAGATATCTAGCAATCATTAGAATTAATTCATTTTTTGTGATGAATTAGTTGATGTTCTTGTTCTATATAGTTTTTATTTAACTAAATAAGTACTTCAAACAAACGAACATTTATTCCTATATTTAACTACTTCCATAATTTTACTTCATGATATCTGAAAAAAAGAACATAGTTGCATGTCAAAATATATTTGAATAATACTATAATAATGTTTAAATAGTTATAATAGGATTATAATCTCTAATGCTAATAAATATTAAAATCTGCCGTGCGTTTTACTTGAAATTTATCCTTATGCAACCTTTACTTATTAATTTTTTTAATAAATGTATTTCGAGAACCAGAGACAATACGTATTGTCTGCTGGAACCTATGAAGTAGTTTTGAAAAGTATAGCCAAATGCAATTTTCTTTTCTTAACACCATATGTGAATAAATCGCATTAGAAATTTACTTATTAATACAAGTAATCGTAATCGTATTTAAGAACATTAGAATTAATTGCCTTTTCACTAAGTTTGAAATGCTCAATATTTTATTTTATTATTAAATGAGAATATTTCATTACTTGTCAGTATCCAATGACAATAATACTACAAATAAATTACAATGATTAACATACCTTCTTGAAACCAATATATTATTTACAGATTCAACTATTTTACTAGCAAGTAGAAATGCAGGCGTTGCGATGGTCCACCAGGATCTAGAATTTGTGCAATGACGTACTACATATGTCCCACGTGTATTTAATACGTAATATGGGTTCATTCTCTATGACACCTCTGAATTACTCGGAATTTGGCCAAGTCTACTTCTTATTTGATTGTATTTTTTCAGTTAACGATTTTGATTGAATTGTTGGACCATTCAATTATTCATAGGTATCGTTGTATTAACCGAAATATTTAAAATTCATAACCTTAATATCTCTCATATGGATGAATATAACACACTATATAATGAAATGACCGTACGCTGATAAAGTAAATAAATTTATCGGTGAATTTCCGGATTAATTCTATGATTGATGTAAAATAATTTGTAAAGTTTGTGATCAAGACTTAATGTGCTGGAATAAATACGACTGCAAAATTCATGTCAATAGTAACCGGCATAAAATTTAAAAAAATGGCGTGTCTTCTTTGGAACCTCAGTTTATGCCTGATTTACTGTTAATGCTGATTGCCTGTGATATTCCCCTGCGCATATTGGATAAACCAGCATTTCGGGAGTTCTGGAATAAATACAATCCCCAGGTGAATTTACCAAGTCGTTCATTGTTACGTAGATATGTACCAAGTGTTCGTGAAGACATTGTAAATAGAATTAAATGTGCATTAAAAATACACGGCTGTGGTTATGTGTTGACGAGACGACAGATTGTAAAAAAATTCTATTTTAAATGTAATAGTACGTGTACTCGACCCTGTTAAACCAACATTTCCATTTTTACTAGCTAGCAAAAGATTAACTGCGTGTACTGGCGAAACAATTACGCGGGTGGTGTTGGAGACTTTCGAAAAATTTGAACCGTCAACAAGTCAAGTGTTGATGTTTGTGACCGACGGTGCTGCGACAATGCGTTTGGTGGGTCGTTTTCTTCAAAGAGATGATTGTAGGTTTTTACATGTTATGAGTAAAGTGCATGCGTTCCATCTTGTAGCAGAAACTATTCGAAAATGTTTTCCAGAAGTAGATGCATTAATAGCAAATACAAAAAAAGTATTTCTCAAATCTCGTAAACGGCTTCGAGCATTTCACACACTGTGTCCTGGTATTCCGGAACCAACAGAGCCGATTCTTACCCGTTGAGGAACGTGGTTGAAGGCAGCTTTTTATTATGCTGAATATTTTTAACAAATAAAAGCTGTGATAGTACAGTTCAACCCTAACGAGGCTGCAGCTATTAAGGAAAGCCAGACAAGCTTTCAAGATGTTTCCTTTGAAACAGATTTAAAAACCATTTATAACAATTATAGAGGACTACACGTCGCAAGCTACTTAATAAATCTGCTTGAGAAGGTGAGTTTTGTACATATTTTTATAAAGTGTGCCAGTATTAATAAAATTTATTTCCATTTATTTTATTTATTTATTTATTATTAGTTATCACTTAGATATACAATGTACATGTGTGAACGTCATTTAACAGTTTAATAATAATGTGCAGCACTAAGCTTACAGAATATAAGGAAATACATAAAAAAGAATTTAAAGCGAACGAAATAGTACAAAAACATACATCACAATATATAAAATATTTTTGTTTTTATTATTGTACTTATTCAAGTATTATGATATGATGCATACCCAGTATGTCTCTGTAGGATTAATGACCTTGGCCAGGCTTAGTAATATGTAATGTAACAAATCAGATAGACCCATTAGAGTACTAATAATTGTAGGTGCATGTATGTTTGCAAATGAAAATGTAATTAATATGTTAAATAAATAAAAGATTTAATCTATTGAAAAACTTTTAAAAACATTCATTCTCGTAAAATTTAATCCTCAATTTTTTTCTGTAATAAAAAAATATGAATTTTGGATGATAATAGTTTAAATATAAGGATTTAGCCCTAAAATAATACGTATCTGCATTTGACAAAAAAAAGAAATTGAACGTATTCATGAAACTTTGTAGAAAACATTCCAAGTTATCCGAAATATGAATATAAAATCAGTTTCTCTTTTTCGCTTTTTGGTCTTGATCATAATAATCAATTAGTAGTTTCCAGTGTTACAACTTTTTAAACTCAATATCTAAAAAAACGAATAATTTTTCTTATTCGTTACTGTACACAGATATAACATGTTTGATTCAAATATTCCTGTATAATATTAACAACACGGTTTAAATTAATAAATACACTTAGATACGCGATGTCTAGTTTACAAAAGCCAAAGTGTATCTCATCAATCATTCAGCTATAAATATCAAAGACTTTTATTTTAAGACAATATTTTTATTAACCATCAAAGATCTTTTATGTTCTGAAAAATATAACAGAATTGGCACTACTGTCGTGTTATATTAAATAATTACATTTCGTTTGAACTATTTTTATTACAACTTGCAAGTAAAACTGTTCCATTACCTAATCGTATACAATCGTCAGTAAGCAGCAACGATAAAACTTCAAAATGAGTGTAAGTTTAAAAACATATGATTAGAAAATTTCTAAATTTACATTTTATACACTAATTATTTTGGTTTGTTCAAATTGAGCTATATTTTGAATAAGAATATTGTGTGGCAAACAAACACTAGAATAGTTTCCACTAACACCAAAATACGTATACTCGACTCACGTTCCGCCAGTTAAGTTGACATCATCAGAAAATATTTAAAAATATTTTATTTCCAATCATATTAGAATTATATTAAAAATTAGGTTTCGATAAATTTATTTTATAAAAATAAACGATACACTCAAGACCTTGCAAATTACAGACCCATAACTATTTCAAAAAAATCATTGAGTATTGCATCTTAAAAAAATATGTTCCTAAAATGTTTTCTTAACCGCATTTCAAGTCAGAGTAGTGCCCCTTGAAATTCCTTGGATTTTTTTGTTAGGAAAGAGAGACGAGGCCCTACAGTAGTTTATAAATAAAATTTTTAACTTGCTCCAAGATGGAATCGAACCATCGACCTCCGGTACCGAGTTAATAGCTGGGGGGGTTTTCCCCCCTTTTAACCCATTGGATAGAGCATTAGGCTTCTTGAACAATAATAATATAATTTCAAGTAGCCTACATGGACTTTTGTTTGGTAAATCCACACTAACTGCCGTCCAGTCATTTTATGCAGAAATAATTGATCATATTGAGGCGGGCGAGTGCCCCGTTGGGGTATTTTCTGATTTTAGCAGAACATTTAATTGCGTCGATCATGAGAGATTACTCGCAATACTGTATATTAATGGTGTAAGAATCATATCGTTAGACTAGGTTAATTGTTTTCTCTTCCAACGCAAACAATACGTTTCTTTGACCAATAATGAAGCTAGTACCGTGGATTCTAGTAATTCAAAATATGTAGATATTAACAAAAGTGTGCCACAGGGTTCAATTCTGGGCCTTGTGATTTTTCTAATTTGTATGAATTATAGTCTTGTCTTGTTAACTTCCGTACATTTTACTATACCGAGTGCAACAGCATCATAGTACACCCCTTTTTTTCTTTAGTTTTGTAGATAATCAATAGAAATTTGGAACATCCTATATACTTAATTAACGTAACTTTTTGACGTATAAATAATTTTTTTCCACTTCCTGTCTCAATGGAAGTGACACTAAATTTTGATTTTCAAACAGAACACCCTGTATATTATTGCATTTTTTGAATTCTGTATAATTTTCTGAATCCAGTGATATGACATAAGTGACATTTTATGTGTCAATATTTGTTTTAATTTAATTTTTAGTTTTCCATTTAATCGTGTCATCCTGACTGTCCCGATTTATGTAATGCTAGGAAAATCGAAGTTCCATCGAAAATACTAAATTATGTAATTTATGAGCAAATAAAGTTCATCAAAATGGTTTTTGGGACGAAACACAATTTTTCAAAATGTTAGTTTTATTAGTACTATTAACAAGAAATTTATTCATATGCATTATTAAAATGTGCGATAAATACAAGCAAAATTACAGCTAAGAGAAAATAAGAAAATACAATTTTGTTGTAATTAAATGGTAAGAATTAACTAAGGTGGCTTTGAAAACAGTGAAATATTTAGCTTTTCAAATATTTATTGGTTTACCGGTGTTTCTATTGTGTCTATGTTTAAAATTCTCGTTAACTTTCGTTCCAAATGGCGCAAATTTTGTAAAAGAGATGAAAAAGTGGACATGGTAATTATTTATAGGGGATGTAGGAAAAAGCCATTTCCCGCTTCCACCTTTATGCCGAACAATATCCTGCGAGAAATTATTTTAATCGTGTTGAAAAACAATTCCGAAGGGATCCCGAAAAAAATTTTTATTATTGATGAAGGAACGAAAATTAATGTTTTGTCTCGACCAGAAGTTGATAAGACTCTTTCTTTAAGACAAATTGCTTTGAATTAGAAATCAATTACCAAACAGTAAGCCTAATTTTGCATAAATACAACTATAAATCTTTTAAACAACAATTGCACCAGCACTTGTACGAAAATGACCTTCAATTTAGAATGGACTACTGCAACTGAATTTTACAGAATAACGCGCAGCCAAACAATAATTTTTTGGGAAGGATTTTATTTTTGGATGAGATATTGGTCACATGAAGGTCAAAATTAATTATGGGAGGGTAATTTTCAATGGCGATTCAGTTTCAATGTTTGGCTTGGAATAACCTGTAGTACAATAATGGCTTCAATAATATTTGTAGGAAACTTGACTGGTGCCAGATACCTGGGATTTCTGCAAAATGAGATTGAGGACATTTTAAATGAATTACTTTTGGGTTAGGACAGGGAATGTATTTCCAATAAGATGGCCTTCCTCCACATAACTCAAGAATACTGATTACCTTCAACAGAGATCCGAAGAAAACATCATCTTGTCGAATAGTCCTGTCAAGTGGACTTCAAGTTCACCTGATCTGACTTCCCTAGATTTTTTGTTTGGGGTCATAGCATAACGGCCCAGCAATTGGTGAATGTTCTTCGAGATAGAGCTAGCTTGCGAGTTCAGAAGTGCATTGACGTTAATGGACAGCATTTTGAACAATTGTTGTAATATTTTGTGTTCCCATTTTGTATTCCAAAATCGCCTTATGTAGGTATACCTAGATAATTATAATTAAATAATAAACAAAAAAAGAAGAATTCGTTAATAATTAAGTGTAATATTATACTCCACAACTTAAATGAATGGTTTCGTCAGAACTGTCTTCATTTTAATATTGATAAAATTCTGGCCTAATGTACAAAAAAAATCTGAGTTTGCTAATAGGCGACAAGTCCTCAATTTTAAGGTTCATACTGCATGAGTGTCTAACAAGATATAGGTTGTCATACATTCTGCTGAATTTCTTAATGTCGCTTCACTTATAGGTAAAGTTAACGACAGTAGGAGCCTTTACCTTGAACGTAATTATGAATGGGCAAATCCGTACACTATTCAGTGTAGCCGCAGTCAGTTTGTATTATAGAATCAGTGTTTATTTCACTGTTTACTAGCGAGCCGCAGGCCCAACATACCAAAATTATGGTGGGGTATTAAACGGCGACCATTCGCTAGTTGTGATTGGCAGGCAGATCGTAAAGAGACCAGCTTACGAGTTGCCGCGATCTAACTTCTTCTGCCAGAGGCGTCGCATATAGGAAGCAGGTGAATAAATAAGAAAAAGGCAAATCACTTACAACATAAATATATGTATCATATCAAAGTAAGCATTGATTAAAATAATTATTACCTCATGACAATATATAAAATAACTAAAAATTGCCATAAATTGAAAAACAATTAAACTACATAAAACGCAACAAAAACACAGATAGATTTTAAAACAGTTAAGAACATAAAAAAATTATAACAATAATTACTACACAAAACAGAAAAATAACTGATTATTAAAAAAAAACTATATTACAACAAAGAATAAAAACAGATAAACATAAAAATAAATAGTGAAGTTCATAAAAAAAAATAACATCAGAACAAATATATATATATATATAGTATAATTTTGTCTCCTCCGATTGAGTTCGCAATAGGTGATATGGACCTCAAATTTTAGATTTTTTTTGCCATTTGAGAGTTCTTCAGTGGTTATCTGAAAAGAATTTTTTGGTGTACTTTTGTTTTATTTTTAATCACGTAGGCCATGGTAGTTAAGCAAAAACTACTTTCTTGTTATGTAAAGTACATTTTCTGTAAAAACAGCAAAATGTTAGTAAGGAAAATATTCAGATTAATAAGTTATACTCGTATGCAACATTTTAAGAAGATCCGCCTACTATAATGATTTTGACCTTTTTCTACTATATCTGCATTTTATGTTAAAATAAATTACCTAAATACCTAAATAAGTTTTTTTTTCGAAATCGACATACCTGGTGATATAAAATTACGGTTATTATACAAAAATTGAACATGACAAAATATTATTATATTACTAAATCCAAATTGTTTAAGAACTATTATAAGTAAGACAATAACAATGTCTTGATATCTTTAAAAATGAAATTAAAATAAAAAATTTTTGAAGTATGAATTTTAAGGAGTTGTTACTCTTTAAGGCGGCGTTAGTACGCCTTTGTTACAACAATCAGCAACAGAAAACTTTAAATCGCTATTAAATTATTTCTATTGATGAGAGCGACAAATGAGAACACTACATGATTCACTTAAACATACCATATGAATTTAATATATAAAATTACAGGCAATACTGATACATATTTGCTTCATTAATAAGAAATATGAACATTTTATTTGGTGTTATTTTATAAAACTAAATAATCGTATTTCCTATTAATGAAAAAATACGCATCAGTATAGATTGCCGATATGATTATATACAAGCAAAAGTCCCCACCCTGAATAACTTTGGAGATAAAATTTTTTTGAAAAAGTGGTGAAACAGGTCGACCTTATTTTCAAGAGGAACATATTTTAATGTAATACTTGTATACCTATCATCATCCCTCTACCCTATACGGCTACCCCCTCAAAAAATTCAAGTGGCAAAGGGGGTCGAGTGATACATCTTTTGAAAGGTCTTTCAATTCTCTACATACCTGTGTATTTTTTTAAACTTTTATCGATTTGTTCCTGAGAAATAATTGATTCATTATTTTAGGTTCGAAAAATAAAAATAAAAGAAGCAGTTTAAATCATCGTAGGTTTTGTTCAAAATGACCCCCACCGACTTCCATACAGTAGTATAATCTGTCTTGAAATTCTGTACGAACATTTCTGAACACATCTGTAGTCAATAAACGGCATTCTCGAACAATTCTTTCAGGTAACTCTTCCAGAGATGCGGGTTTTGTTGCACATACCATTGATTTCAAATATCCCCACAGAAAGAAATCCAAGGGAGTTAAATCGGGTGACCTAGTGGGCCAGTCTACAGGACCTCCTCTTCTAATTCATCGCTCGGGAAACCGAATATCCAAAAATTGACGGACTGCTATAGCAAAATGTGGGGGTTCCCCATCCTGTTGAAAAAACAGTTCGCCCTCTAAAAGATTATCGTCTTTTTCGAGGATTTGGGTAATCATTGGGTCGATGTTATTTTCTAACAGATCGAGGTACCTTTCGCCATTTAAATTGTCAGGAATAAAAAATGGCCCGACAATGCGATCTCCTAAGATGCCAGCCCAAACATTTAACTTCTGAGGCCTTTGGGTATGAGCTTCCATGAACAAATGTGGATTGGTTTCACTCCAATACATACAGATGTGCCTGTTTACCTTCCCATTTAACTGAAATGTCGATTCATCAGAAAAACACGTATTTTACAGTAGATAGGCATTACCGTTTAATTGTTCACAAAAAATCTCACAGAATTCAAGCCGACGATCGGGATCATCTTCGTTTAATTCGTGTACCAATTTAAATCTATATGGATGAAATTTGGGGCCTTTACAATTCGATGAACACTGCTTCGTGATACACCGGAAGCCTCAGCAACTTTCCTGATCGATTGAGTATTATCCATCTGCAAATGACCCAGAACTGCCACTTCGACTGCTTCATTCATAATCGGTTGCTG